CTTTTAAAAAGGCTTTTTTCTCTTTCACCATTTAGTGAAGCTACTCGAACAAAAATAACCATAGAGAATTGTCAAAATTATACTCTTTTCAATCTTCATTTAATTAAGATGTCTTCAAGTAAAGCAATTAGTTGATCACTCACTGAAACTCCCTTAACTATGGCCCAGAATCCTTCTACATGTTAACAGATTTTCTTATTATCGCTTGAGTCCTCTGTTTTCATGGGGTTCTATTTCCTCTGTCCACTTCTTAAAAGATTTTGTTCCTCATGGCTTTGTTCTTGACTGTTTTTCTTATAGTTCTAGATTCTGCCTATAAATATATATATACACTCTAATTATTTATACTACTCTCTGGTGAGAAAGGTTATGAGACTTCTCGTTGCCCCACTTTTCAAGCTGATATTAAAACTTAACTCTTAGTTCAGATTTGCTGTCTTAGTTTTCCATATAAATGTATGGACACTTTAAACCATGTTTAAACTCTAATTCAACTTTCTACTGGAAATACGTTTCTTTTATGTGTGTTTCCTATGAAGGTAACTTATTTATTTATCCTTGCTTTCAGAACCAACCTATAGAATAAGTATGGATAATTTAATTATTGAGAAGAAAGTAAATGTTACCTATCTTAATAATGTAAAAAGAAATGTAGTGGAGAAGAGTTGGGTTATAAATGAGGTATAGAATAGAGGGCCGTAAGAGGCAGAAGGAAGGGCAAGAGTGGGTATTTCTTCATCATACATAGTGGGAAGTTGAGATACAACTAACATGCATATAACAAGAAACAGATTATGGATAAGACAATATTATTGAACACTGTAAATATAAACGATAAAAAAATTCATCAAACTAAGAAAAGGAGGAGAGAAAAGAAGAACAGTTGTAGAAGTGACCTAAATCCTCATTTGTAGGAAAAGTCAATAAATTATATCTTAGAGAAGAAAGTATATTGTTTAGAGATATGGAGATAATCACAAGAAATGAAATCAGACAAAGTTAAAAATACTTAACTCTCCTCTGTGGAGGTAAGGATTGCTTTTCATAAATTACTATTATTCAATTGGTTTCACTTTGTTACCTCCCCCATCTCTCTCTGTCTCTCTTTCACTCTCTCTGTATATATATATATATATATATATACATATATATATATATATAAATACATATACATTTAGACTATTGTATGTGTTGTTTATACTATGTAGACTATATTAGTATTTTTCATATATGAGGAAAACGAGTATGTGTGTGTGTGTGTGTTGAGAGTTGCCAGATAAAATTTCCTAGGTACATGGTTAACACCTTTTGATACATGAATTTAAGTTTAGGCTTGTATATGAAAAATTTTCTTGATTTATACTTTAAAATAATAGTTGTTTTATTTCATCAGTTATTCGTCAAAGGGTCCAAGTATACGTATCTTGGATCTTCTTTGCCTCTCCTTCATTTAAGCTCCTTCTCTCTGACCCTTTTCTTCTTTCTTTATCTCCTAGTCATTCTCTTGGTTAACCTTCTGCTTGTCTTCATGCCTCTTATGGAATTTTTACTTAAATTTTATATTTTCCTTTGGACACTTTATAATTTATTTGTCAATTTTGAGATTTTTTTTATCATTTAATTTTTCCTGAAGCTTTATCATTGCGTGCGTCATCCACATTTTTGCTTTTGTTTTTCATTTCTCTTCTTAGTTTTTGATTTTCTGAGTCCAGTTTTAAAAAACATATATCCCCAACTCTTCATATTTTGAAATTTATTTCACTTTGGAATATTGTGTTACAGTTTTATTTTTCTGTTTTGTAATTGTTTTCAAAAGTAAAAGTTTCATCAGCTGAATTGTTTTGACTCTCACTTTTCACGCCCAGCTTTGTAGAGGTATAATTGACAAATAGAATTGTAATATATTTAACATGTAAAATGTGATGATTTGATATATATATACTTTGTAAAATGATTACCACAATGAAGTTAATTAACAGATCCATCATTTCAAGGAGTTACTGTTTGGGTTTTTTTTTTTTTCTTTTTGCTTTGATGTGAAAGCTTAAGATCTACTCTCTTAGCAAATTTCAAGTATACAACATAGTATTATGAACTATAGTCACCATGCTGTATATTAGATTCTCACAACTTAGTCATCTTATAACTGAAAGTTTGTTCTCTGATCAATATCTCCCCATTCCTACACTCCCTAGCCTCCATCATTCTACTCTCTCTTTCCATGAGTTCAACTTTTTCTTCTTTTATATTCCACATATAAGTGATACGATCCAGCATTACTCTTTTTCTCTCTCATTTATTTCACTTAGTATAATGCCCATCAGGTTCATCCATATGTCACAAATGGCAGGATTTCCTTCTTTTTTATAGGTAAAAAATATACTCGCATTTTCTTTATCCGTTTCTCATTTGATGGACACTAAATTTGTTTTCATGTCTTGGCTATTGTGAATAACATTGCAATGAACATGGAGTGCAGATATCTCCTTGAGATAGTTTTCTTTGGCAAATATATCCAGAAGTGAACTCATTTTCTATATCTTCTTACAATAGTTTTGCATGCTGTTGGTCTGAATCTTGCTCTTCCCAGGCAGGGTTCCAGACCAAAAGCATCCTCTTCCATCATTATTATGCAGTATACTTTCCTTAATGGATAATCTTTTTGGTGGTGGTGATGGGGAAGGAGAGAGGCTAACATATATTGTGATTCTCCTTCATTTATCTGAGGTCCTTAGTATTTCCTATTTATAGTCTTCTTTTCAATCTCTGGCATACCACCAATGTCACCTATCCCGTATTTCCTTTTTCCTCAAAAGTGAAGATTTCTTAAGTTCCCAGTTACAGTGCCATTTAATTGTAAGTTCAGTCTCTATAGTTGGTATTATAAAACGCCGAATCCCAGACCTGTGTTCAGTCTTTTAGCACTTAGTATCAGGTGCTTTCATTTTGATCCAGTTTTCTGCTGTGCTTTATCTATTACTTTTTGATACTCCTCCCATTTCTGTTGGGTGTTTTAGTTCTCTCATTCTCTGCTCTCTAGACCCATGGACTTATAGCAAGGAGCACTACCAGCAGCAGCTCTGCTGGAATTTGGGGTATATTTCTCTACTTTAAGGTAATTTGAAATTCACACTATTCTCCATAGCTTAATAATACTGAAAGCTGACATCATTTAAAGTTTTCTTTGTACTCTTTTTTGATCTTAACATTTGAGGAAGGTTGCATGGAGTGATTTAAATTTAGTCAACTGTCACTATCCTAGGGCTAACTTAAAACCAAATTATAAATTTTTAAAAGTGAATATGTATTTATCATAATTAACAAATTATAGAAGGTTAAAAGTAATTAACTCACCCACAATCCAACTACGAAAACATAATCACTATTTAATACTGTTGTGGTATAGCTTTGTTTCCTGTACACAGGCATATACATGTCCATGTTCCATATTTCTCTATTATATATGTGTGGAGAGAGACAGAGAGAGAGAGGCTTCTCGGAATTTTTAGTCTGCAGAGACTGAGCAATGGGTTAAAAATAAATCATTCTGTATGTGAAAAGGCATGATAACACATTTAGAAGCTATGCTACAAGGTTAGAAAAAACTGGGAAGAGCTAAGAGGGACAAACAGGTATCTAAAAGGTATTCATTATGAAATTGTGTATATAATTTATGGATATAGATATATAGATAGATAAACATATCAAAAGTTTATAAAAGTTTTTAGTTTATACATGTTGCTAAGTTACTATCCGGCTTATACCAACATACACTCTCACCACCAAATCCTCCCTGTACCAGGCCTATTTTAAAAGTTTTGGCCAATTTTGTAAACATAAAAGGAATCTTATTTTAAATTTTTTTAAGTTAAATATTTTTCACATATTAATTGGTCATATTTTTTATGGGGAAAACTTGGTGAATTATCTGCTCATATCTTTTGTATCCATTCTTCTACTAGGATATTTGTTTTTTTTTTTTTATCATGTCTGTGAGTATTCTTTATATATAAATGACATCACATTTTTGCTGTTTTTGGTTACAAATGTTTAGTAAATTATACATTCATATTTCAAAATTGTTCAGGACATTTTATTGATGTAAAAAATTTTTAATGTAGTTGAATTTAATAATCCTTCTTTTAGGAGTTCTTCCTTTGTCTATAATGCTTAGAAAGCTTTTCTCAATCTTAATATCAGCAAAAGATTCATGTACATTTTTCTCATTTATTATGATTTTAAAATTATATTATTCCATTGCTCCATCTAAAAGTTATTTTGGTGTGTAATGTATTGTGATATAAATGAATGATTTCCTAAGTATTCTAGATCTGCTTCAGAGGATTTTTTTGGTCTCTGGCTTTTATAATTATGTCAAGACTAAATTATTTTAATTGTTGTAGTTTTGTAGATTTTAGTAACATGCAGGACAGGCAGTATATATTTCACTGCTCTTTGGCTGGCTCTGTAAAATGATATTTTGAAGCCATAATAAACATTTTTATTACTTCTGGAATATACACATAATGCATTATTCCTGCTTGTATATCATTGTCATTGTAATTTCATATGTATCTAGTTGATCTCTCAGTGAAAAAAGATACCACTAATCTTGATGGTACATAAATCACTATAACTAACATTATGTAGCTATGGAAATCAACCATTCAGATAGCTCCAGCAGAGATCATAATTGATTTGCCAGTTTCTTTGTAAAAGTAATATGCTAATATGATACACAGAGAAGATTCTAGAGGAGGGTGAAGGCAAGAGGGTATAAAATGATTTCTAAAATCATTCCTCAGCAGTTATTGAGAAACCGTCATATGTATTTACCAAACCTCTAGAACTATACACCTACAAATTTCTAATTCTATATTATGTGCTTTCCCCTACTATTTGTTTTTGGCATCTGCCCCACAGAGAAACTTGAGGTTTCACTAATGTGACAAATGTTTCCAACCATTATAAATATTATGCATCATTTTCCTCATAATTACCTTGTAAAGTCTGTCATCTCCATCATGATCATACACATCTTCTTGGCCAGGACAATGATATCGTTGCTTGTATCATCCCATATCTCAATCTCAGCATCCAGCTTACTCTTCACTTTCTTGAAATCAGCAACTTGCTCAGCAATCTTTTCTTTTTCTGCCTCAGGCAATTGAGTCATCTTAGCCTAAAACATGTGATAATTAGATTTATAATCACTTCACTGTGTCAAAAAGCATTTTAGGAAGAAGAGGTCATTATAGAATATTCATAAATCTTGTTCATTTAAAAACAGAGACATGTCTTAGAATTTTTTTCTTTTTTTTTTTGAGGAAGATTAGCCCTGAGCTAATATCTGCTGCCAATTCTCCTCCTTTTGCTGAGGAAGGCTGGCCCTGAGCTAACATCCGTGCCCATCTTCCCTCTACTTTATGTGTGGGACACCTACCACAGCATGGCTTGCCAAGCAGTGCCATGTCCACACCCGGGATCCGAACTGGCGAACCCCAGGCCGCCAAAGCAGAACATGCAAACCTAACCACTGAGCCACAGGGCCAGCCCCATGTCATAGGTTTTTTAAGTCATATAATCAAAACTTTCCAGGTATAATTGTTCATATGAAAAATCTATTGAATTATAATTGTTTCTTCTAGAACTACGATGTTACATTTGAGAACAATGTATAATTTAGTATCTAACATATGCAAATCTACTCCTTAAATTCTCAAATTCCTAATGCATTAAAATTTTACATTCATTCAAACTAAATGTAATGCATCACATATGTTAGAAAAGTGTATACGTTATTTAATTATACTAATAGTATGCCTCAAAGGTAGAAGTATCATAAAGTTTGTCTTAAAATGAAACTATATCTACATTTATCTTCAAATGAAACATACATAGACAGAGCCTCACATAAACACTCACATGCATTGGTAAACAGTAATAGTACACATTTATAAGCCATATGTATATAGACGAGCATATATATAAAATCATAAGGATGTATATATATTTTGCGCAGGTGTGTATGTGTATGCAAACTCTTTTGGAGGAAAAGTAAAAATGTTATGGGCAGAGTCCATTAAGACAGCCCTCTCTATTTAGTATCTTGAGTTTTGAGGTGCTGCTCTCCCATCCACAGTAAACTTATGTTGGCATGATATCATTCTTTGGATGTCATATCTTGAACAGTGTACAACTTGCAGCTTCTACTTGCAATTTAAAATGTGGGATGGGTAGAAAAGCATCAATAATTTAAACTACCATATTCACCACCTTAGCACCTGGGACCTATGATTTTTGTCAAATATAAAAGAAGCTTGAAGTAAAAGCGATTTGATAATATCAAGTCCATAAGATTTCATGAGACAGGCTATGCAATCATATGGTCAAAAAAAGGAATCCATAAATATTCTAACAGTAGAATGAGTACATAAGTCTGAAAGGGAGCATTCAAAAGGATAAATCATTAAAGCATAAATCATAAAGGATAACAGAATTTACTTATTTGATTTTTCACATAGAATATGCGATACCTACAATGCCTATCGTATGTCCAGATGATAGTCTCTAGGACATCTATAGATGGGGAAATAAGAAGAAATCACCTCAAAAAGCTTTGCAATATTCTGGATACTAGGATCAGAATACTAAACCACACTTTATTGAATCAATAATGTACAATAGCAAAGGAGCTTAACTATATGAAGGGAGGAATTACAAGAATGGTCAACGGAAAATGCAAGTAAAAATCAAAGAACCAATATCAAGTATCTGTCATTTATCATCTATTTATTATAAGCCTAACTCAGTGTCTAAAATAACTTGGTATCTGTAACATTTCAGGATTAACTATCCATGCTTTAGTTTCAATCTAGTAAATAAAATAAACAATGAGACTTTGTGATTTGAAGTTTCCTTTAAATTCATTAGCGTGATGCTTAACACATACTGAACGCTCAATAAAGGCTATTTCTTATTCTATAAAAAGTTATCAAAATATATTCACATATCTAGCACTTAAAATTTGTTTTCTTTTCATAATTTATTGATTTTATTTTATTTGAAGAATTAAATTAAGCTTTATGAGACTAGGGTTTTAACTGATGACCTATACAAGTAACTGTTCGTTAGGATCTGAAAATAGTTTGTAGTTTCTTTTCTCAGCAAATGTCTCCTATGTAATATGTTGAAAGAAGAGCAACTTTTACTGCTGCTGGCATATGGCAAGGCACATAAATGAAGACACAGCTCACTTACGTCTGAAATCAATAGTATGCAAGCACATTAAGTAAATTATAAGCTGTCAACACATTAAACTAGCTCAAAAATAGAGATGAATTTTCTCCACTCGACAAGTGGCCATTATCATTTTCTCCATTTTCATAAAAAAGTGTTTAAACTTTCAGATAATAACTGTAGATAGAGTCCATTGGGACCTCCTTTTACAGTATTCATCTCAGATAATAAATCCATGACCCTGGATTTAAAAAATAATTTTGAAGTGCATGCTAGCATATCATGGAAAATTACTCACTATCCTCATAATAAAGTTAAAACTATTCAAGAGGTCATCTGGTTAAGTGTATTCCAAGTTCACCTCCTTGGAATGCCAGTGATTTCCAATATGACCTTGAGGAAGTTACTTAACCCTCCTGTCTATGGTTCCCCAGACACAAAATGACGATAATTGCAAATGCTATCCACCCGTCATGCAGGGAGTAGAGTCGATTATTGGGTAACACTAGACTGATCCTGTTGGGGACAGGAATCTCATCGGTTGCCCTCGATTCCCTTAATAACATCTCAACTCACGTGGTGAATACAATTGGCAGATGTTTACTTCTGACAAGATGAGGGCCCAAAGTTGAGCAACAGTTTACAAAATTAAAAGTTCTAGAGAAGTCTGACTCTTTCTTACAGGAGGAATAGCAACAGAAAACCATTAAATTACTGACTGACACCTTTACTGAAGGTTTTTAGTGCTTCCATGAATGATTTACTATATGCTATCAAGAGATTTTAATCACTACGAAAATTTCAAAATAGGACTTCAAAGAATACTTGATATTTAAGAATTCTGGGTGAAAATTTCTTATTGGATTATTTAGTGCAGGATAAGCAAAGAAACTCAGGTACAGAGCTTAAGACATATCAGGTAAGTGTTATTGTTGGCTGGCTTATGTCTCTGCTCCTACTCAAATCTATGGAGAAGAACTCTGACACAAATAGCTATCAAAAGCTTTTTGAATCACTGCCATCCAAATGCAATTACATTGTATGTCGACTGACTCTGGAATCTATTGTCAAAGACAATGAAAATAGCTAACATTTATATATGCCCGATACTCCTCTAGGCATCTTACATACACTTAAACTTTAATCTTCAGAGGAACCTATGACGTAAGTATATCATTATCCTAATTTTATGGAGTATGAAACTGAGTTTCCAAAAGGTTATTTACTCAAGATTACAGTGTTGTAAATGGTAGAACCTGGAAGCAAACCTAGAAATTCTGGCTCTAGAGTTTTTGTTCTATCGCCATGACAACAAACATGAGCAATATTGCCCACAACATACCAAAACATTCAGATTCTCCCAAATGGTAGTTATCTACCACCTTCTACTTTCGAACACAGTTATTCTCCAAAGTATAGTCAGCCACATATCTTTCCCAATCTGTTTCCTCATCTGTAGACTAGAGACAATGATACTCACCTCACAGTTAAGCTCAAAGGTGAGTTGTTTTAGAGATCAAATGAATGAATGTATGTGAAAACACTTTTTAAATTCTTAAGTGCTATTAAATGCCAACTGCTACACAAACAGATTCAGTTCTTCGCTTTATGCAGTGATCCTTGGAATTCTATTTCTAATGTTATCCTCCTTTTTTCAACAAAAATTATATTCTTCCATTAGCCTATTAGGCATTTTCCAGTATATATATGTCATTTACAGTTTTAGCTCTAAAACAGAGTTTGGCAGAATTTTCCTCTAAAGGGCAGGATAGTAAATAATTAATGCCTTGCTGGTCATACCGTACCACTTTGTTGCATTATTCAACTCTGTTGCTGATGTAATGCAAGTGCAGTCATAGACTCTGCACGCCAATAAGTGTGGCTGTGGCAATACAACTTTATATGGACACCGAAATTTGAATTTCATGTAATTTTCATGTATCACAAATATTATTCTAATTACTCCCACTCTGAATTTTTTCAACCACTTAAAAATGTAAAAAATATTTTTAGCTCATGGACTGTACAAAAACAGTTGGGGGCCAGATTTGGCCTGCTGGCTGTAGTTTTCCAACACTTGCAAGTCCTCTATTCTCTTGATTTTCCTGTTTCTCAGTAATACTGCCTGCTACTCAGTCTTGAAATCTCAATTTAAAAAAATTCTTCTGCTTTCTTTATCTATCCTCTTTTGTGAAGCAGAAAGTTTGTCCATTTATCTGTCATACATTTATCATATCCATCTCCTTCTCTGTATTTCTTACTACTATACAAATTCGTCTTAATTTTCTCTTTCATTTTCATTCTTTTGTCTTGCTACCACTTGATTCACTCTTTCTGACTTTGATAAAATTTAGCAATTCTTCAGCTAAAAACCACCTTCCATGTCTCCTTACTGAACAAAGAGTATCAATTCCTCAATTACCATCATTAAATTTGTTTAAAGTGGAAAATTCATATAGAAAAATGTCCAAATAATAAATATAAAGTGGAAATACTTCCACAAGCTAAGTGAGTCTGTGTATTTCGTACCCAAATCAAGGAGAAAAAAAGGTTACCAGCACCCCAGAAACTTCCCTGTGTCCTATTCTAGTCGCTACACATCAAGAACAATTACTATCTCGATTTCTACAACTATAGATGTTCCAATTTTTGAACCTTATATGAATGGAGTAATAGTATATGTACACTTGTGTCTGGCTTTTTATGTTCAACATTTATATATTTGAAATACATCTGCACTACCGCATGAAGTTATAGTCTGCTTATTCTCATTGCTCTATATAGATAGCATTCCACTCTGCAAATATATACCACTTATTTATCTGTTTTTCTATTAATGATCTTTTGGGAAGCATTCCATTTTGGGCTATTATAAATATTAAATATATATAAATATAAATATTTAAAATATGTATTAAATTCTTGTGTTTTTGATGCACTTAT